CTAACTGCTGCAACCAACAACCAGCCCACTGCAGAAGAGAATGTCCAAGTGAGCGATTCAATGACTGGCTGCTGATAGACCCAACTACTTAGCAGTTAGGATACCCCAACTCTTCCCTTCTAAGGCACGGCCAGCCACTAAAAAAAAAAGTTGCACTAATACATTTTTTTCCCAGTCTACACAGGAATTCCTATGATTTGGGAGTGTCTCTGAAACAGACTCAATCAATTAGGGATTTTTGTTATCATTATTTTAAATGAGGTCATGAAAAAAAATTCTACTCTCTTGGCAATCTAAGACACCAAACATCTGGTGCAGACAGTGTATCTGTTCCTGAAAGGCTTACTTGGAAATATAGACAGGGGTCCAGATAGAAGATTCTGGACCCATCTGATTCAGCATCAAAAGGTGAAAGAGTTACAAGCCAACCCCACGCAATACCCAGTTGCATGAGTTGGTAAGAGTTAATAGAGTCCAACCAGAGCTTTGCTTCTCAGTTGATCAACTTGTCTTAAAGAGATTTTTCAGTTATCCTCTTGATCCAAGAGGAAGCTGGAGACTGTAGGGAGTACAGAAGAGATGGTCTCTGATTTCAGATGAAATTATTTCACTCCCTTAGCTACACTGTGGTAAATCTAAACTATCAAAGGAAGAGAAATTGAAGACAAAACCTCTAGACGCCAGGCCACTGTAGCCTCCGGGATGAAGGAACTCTCTACAGCTCAAGAAAGACTGACAAGTCTGGAGGCCCAGCCTCCTGGGCACCATCAGCACCAGTGTCTGATGCACACACCATCAGCACCAGTGTCTGATGGGCATTTTCAGACACAAACAGGAAGAAGCACAGCATGCCCCAGCTGCCAGGAGAATGAGCACCAAGCTCCCGAGAAGAACCTTCCCTCTCCACTGGAGAGCAGGGACTGACGGCATTTGAAGCTCCGCAAACAGAAAAAAAAAAAACTGAAGAAGTCTGTATCCGGCACTCAGCAGTAGAGGTCAGTTCTACATGCAGAAAGCCCTGCCTTCAGCAAGATTTCTTCCAAGATCCAGCCTGGGTCTGCTCAGCAGGCCCCGCCCACAACCTGCTCTCAGTGGCTACATCCTCCCCACACCTGGGCACCTGCTCTTCATGGCCCTCCCTGACAGTCACTCGTTCCCTTGTGATGATCCTCCTCAACCATCTGCACTGTCATCCGGGCTGGCAGAGTGGCCACAAAGAGAATGAGAGGCTTGGTGTCTTGTTTGGGTGTTAACCTCATCCTCCCAGGATCCCTGTACTCTCTACAGTTGGCTTCATACTCTATCCGTCTCCATCTCGCATATCTGAACACGGTCACGCCTCCTCTCCGCGGTCCATCCCTTTAACTTCTCTTCCTGAACCACACCCGCCCTATCAACTACGGTCTTCAGTGCAGAGTGGCTACTAAGGCTCTTATGGAGGCTCTTCCCAAAGAGACAAAGGTAATCAACAAAACTGAGCCTCCACCATCTTGGAGCCTGAACAAAGGGTAGGGCCAAGTTAATGAGCACTATGGAAAATGCTCAGGATCCCACAGAAAGCATCAGTGGTACTCCCCTGTATCCCCATCTCTGCCCTTGACTCTATCCTCCTACCCCCAAGTCCCTGCAGTGCCCCCAAAGCACTTTTACATGCAAGCAAAGCAAGTCCAAGCCACTAGCTTTTCAGTTCCTAGAGTTCTCTACATACTAGTAAAATGTACTTACCTACAATTCTCCCAGCCCACCCCAAACCCTCTAAAGGATTTTGCTATCAAAATCAGAAGAAATGGCTCAAGCTACACATACCTCAGCCTCAAACACAGATCCTAGGAAGCAACTAAGATGCCCTAATGCTCTGGGACGCCTCACCAGGAGGAGGAAAGAAAGCAATCCCACATCCCAACTTTACCTAGTTTTCTCTCTATAAAAAGGGCAGAAGGATGAACAGCTAAAATCTGTTCAACCTCAAATAGTTTAGATCACTGTGCAAAAAAACAAGAGAGAACACACTGGAAAAATATCAATAAGGAATTGTTATAATCCTGCCGAAGTCTCCCCCAAATGCATAAGCTAAGCCTGTGGAGACGGAGTGCAGAGCCTGCTCGTGCCATGCGATGCTGTACTCTTTCCACTGAGAGACTCTCTGAAGACCTCTCTCCTGTTCTCGTCTGTTCGAGAAAACGGGAGAAGACAGGCTGGCCATTAGGCAGGAACCAGCATCAGATGCCGGACCAACAGCCACCAATGACCACGGATGCAAAGAATTCCACTCAGAGTCTTGAAGCAAAGTCCTGTGTGGTCAGCCACCAAATAGAGAAGCAAGATTCACTTCGTATTTTTCATCTTCTTTCCCCCAAATTGCAGTCTCTCTGGAGAAACCGGTTACTCTCCTTTTGGATTTTGGCTTAAACACTGAGATAGCATTTCCAGTCAAGGTACAGAAGGAAAAGATAGAAAAAATACTGAGTACAGGAATAGGTTTGGAACTGGTTACTTCTGCAAGGCAACCAGACCCAAAAAGGGGGATTGGGAAGACATGATCTCCCACAGCAAGGAAGATGAAGCCCTAGGAAGCTCATAGTGGTCACTGCCAAGTTCAAAGGCAGAGTGTAAAGGTCATTGGTCCCTAGAAATGGATATACCCCAACATCACACGTTTCTAACCAGCCTGTCAAACACGTGCCCAGGGCAGTACTTGAGAGTGTGCCTATGACACCCTGATTATCGCATTGGTCATGGGGACTGTTTCCTGCCAATTTGCCTTGCAGTCACCAAGGAAGGGCTGAAACAGTTTCCTGAAGTGCAGGAATGCTGCTGGCCTCCGAGAAAAGTCACAAGAAGGAAGACATCTTAGGCGGAGAATGAATCAGAAGTCACTTTGGAATGGATAGACCTTGTGCCCCTTTGGAGTCCAGGGGACACAATAGCACAGCTGCCATCCACTGGCCAGTCAAAAGCAGTTTCCACCATTTGGTCAGCTAGGCAGAGGTAAGGGGCACCATCAGAGGCAAGAAGACGAAGAAGACAGCACCTTTGTTAGCACAGCCTGCAAGCCCAGCCTACAAGCCTAGCCGTGGACTTGCATCTTACCCCACAAGGTTTGGCGGCTCTTGTCCCCTACAATATCCAAAAGAAGCAAAGTCTTCCACCTCAACTTCTCCATTCTCACCCCCTGGCTCAGACAGTATCAGAATTGCCAGGAGGGTCCTCAGAACGCTTGGCTAAATTCAGTACCGCCCAGCACCAACGACCTACTTTCACACTCCAAGCTTCAGGAGTCACGTGGTGTGAGAGAGCAAGCAAAGACCACACGCAAGGCCACCGCGAGCCTCCAAACGCTACCCCAGCATTGCAGGTAGATTGGTTCCCAGTCACTGAGGGAGACACTTGAGGGAGCAGCCCATTGTGGCACAGTGGCAGAAGCGGTGGCCCCCTGCTGAAAAAGGAGCGAGTCTTCCAACTCAACTCTTCTACTTTGTCGGAGTTGAGGTCCAGAGGGCCCATGACCCCCAGCACCTCTGAGCATCACATCAGGTGGACGGTTCGAGGTCCACGGCCTAACCTCAGAGCAAAAGAAACTCTGCCCTCAGCACCACTTTCTCCTATATCCAGAAGAAAGCTGCGGTAGTGCGGATTGTGTGGTGAAGCCTCAAGTGTAGGGTCCATCCCTAGCTCACTGGGGGCGAGAAGGAAGCACCAAGGCCTGGCTGCAGAGATGCAGTCAATTCCCCAAGATGGAAGCGCCGAGAAAAGGTCAGTGTCCCAGCCCCTGGGACCTCATCAAAGAGTCACTAGGCCGAGTGACTGGCAGCTTCTGTGGGAGCAGCAGAAGCCTTCCAGCAGACGGGGCTAATGCCCGAGGAGGTCACTGGGGAGCGATGGATACAGCAGCACCAAGAAGGAATACTTCCAGGAAGCTGACAGTTATACTTTAGGCAAAGCAGGAGGGAAGGAGAGGGCGGGTCCGCTCTCCCCCTTGTCTACTCTTGAGCAACATCAGAACCTTTTAAGGAGAGAGAGAAGCATCTGAATTGACAAATGGCATCAGGAAAACTTCGGGATGCTAACAGTTTGAACCAGGACAGGATTTGTACAGAGAAAGGATTAGGGCCCTGGTGCCTACCCACTTCTACTTCTGTCATCGAAGGTGCATCAGCCAGCTCCATGCAGGAGCAATGAGGAAAGGGCACCCCAGAGCTCAACAACCTGAAGTCCTCTCACTTGTTCATCTCATGCACTGGAGATTGGGTCCAGGGGGTGGAGAAGGACCCCGGGGCAAAGCAGAGTTGGCAGGCAGCACACAGAGAGTATGCCAAGGAGCCGCAGGCAGCTCCCACAAATGGCAATTAATCAATCTGGAGAATTAGCAAACACAAAAGGAAAGGAGGAGCCAATCGGCCGCGGGGGAGCGGTGCTCTGAGTTCAGAGCCAAGACGGGTATAAATAGAGCTGTGGTAGCTTGGTGCTCAGCACAGGTGGCTGCGGAACAGGAGGGCCTTTGGCTTCAGGGTTCCTAGCCCTGGCTGGACCAGAAGAGATGGAGGCATGGCCACATGAACAAGGGATTGTACACCAGGCCTGCCTGTCAGCCCCACTGCTAAACAACCGCTGCTTCTCGGGTGAGTGCCAAAATGCAGAAGAAAGGAAGATGGCAGTCTGGCCTGGAGCCTGGCCATGCCTTCATCACCTAGCAAGCAAGTAATAAAGGCTTGGGATTAGTTCAGGAGTTAACTTGTTGCTATGACCCCAAGCAGGGAGCTAGGAATCACAGCAAGATCCCTTTTCTGCTCTAGATGGAAGAGGCTGGAAAGGATGGTGAATTCAGCTGAGAGGCATGACTCCTGTTTCAGCCGGAATGATCTCCCAAGACAGACGTGAGGGCACCCACCAGCCCACAGGCCGGCCTGCTCACGAAGCCCGGCTGTTCAGTCCTTCACCGACCACAGGGGGGAGACGGCACTTTGCTTCAATGTACATATATATACACATAGAGAAACCCACCAACTACACACAAGTGTATTTGTATCTATATCTATATATATGTGGAGTTTGGAGGATAGGAAATAATTCTAACCCCCTCCCAGGACTTGGAAAACAGAAACAAACACAGAGTAGTAAAAGCCATTGCTTTTCTCTTCCTCACTTCCTAAGACGTTTGAAGAGGTGAGAAGAATCGAGTAAGGTGGGAGAGATGGTGTTGAGGCAGACGCTTCCTGTCCTCACACACTCCCAGCTCTGACCCACAGATAAAAGCTCTTCCCCCAGTCCTCTGTCCTGTGGGCAAGGCTAGCCAGCTAGATGGTAGGGGAGAGAGAGGCCCACGGGCAGGGGGGGACCACACATCGGACAAGGGCCTGAGCCATCGCATGATGGGCAAAGGAGGACAAGGCCCTGTACAATGGTCCCGCTCTGCCCCCTAGGCCTAGCACCCCACCCTGGGGACACTTAGAGTGACGTCAAGTCATAGCAGAGTAGCGTGGCCTGGGTCATCATGATCCACGCTGTTGAGGATCGCCGTCTGGTCTTCTGGAAGCTGACGGTGGCATAAGTCCGAAAGTCGGGCAAAGGGGTCAGGACGAGAATGTCTCTTCTTCTTTCGGAGGCAGACAGCTTCGTCGGGCGACAGAACCTGAGAGTTGGGAAGCTGCTGAGCCTGGGAGGCAGAACCGTCTACAGAGAAGACAGACACACAAGAGAAGAGGTGTGAAAAAGGGTAGATCAGAGCCTCACGCACTCCATGCATCTCCCAGGGATGAAGTCCAAGTTGCCACTGAAACCAAGGGAGCACCTTTGTTCATGGCTCCGAGGCCGAACCGCTGCCGAGAACCTCCTCTTTCCCCAACTCGAGCAACCAGCAACCCAGCCTTGAATCAACGAAGTCAGGTAGGTATTTCCCCTTCTGTGCATTCATGGATCTCAATGATCAAACTGTTTTAGCAATCAGTCTACAAATATCAGCTGTGCTGTGCCTCTTGGATACCAGTTATCATTCCAGGTGGCAGGAAGCAGGGTTTCAATATGCTCTCACCTACCCCAAACAATGACAGACATTACACAAGACTTCAGTCATGAGCAACATTCAGGCCTGCACCCCTCTTCTACTACGGGGGCCATTCATCTGCCTCATGGCCCTTTGGAGGACACAGCGGGAAGGTTTGGTTTTCTAGAGTATACTCCAGCATAGAGGTATGGAGGAAAACACAAACAGCCAAGATTTGAAAGATACAGAAACTGGATTCTTAGGTGTTACAAGTACAATAACAAAGAAAGATGGACCAGGAAAGGGCCAGTGGCTAGGATTCTGTGTCTGCCTCCCCAAGTGTTACTAACTGCCTGAAGTCTGGAACGAGGAGTCTTCCCCAGAGGAGAATGAAAATGGCAACCATCAATAAGAACAGCCAGCGCATAAACCCAAAGTCAGGAGCAGGTGTAAGCCAGCATGGTGGCACAAGCTTGTAATCCCCATACTTGGGAGACTGAGACAACAGGATTAGGAGTTCGAGGCTGCTGGCCTACACAGTGAGACTCTGCCAGAAGAACGAGGAGAAGGAAGAGGAGAAAGAAGAAGACCAAACACAGTATGTTCTAGAGAGAGAAAGACGACTATGACAACAGAGCTTAAAACTCCTTGATGTATGTATATAAACACACGTGTTAAAAAGAAAAAGAAAAAGAACTGTAAAATCTCTACAGCTCACTCTGGTAGAAAGAAGCAAGAGGATTGAAAGTTCAAGCCCAGACATGGCTAGTTCCAGGCCAGCCTGAACTATACAGTGAGATCTTGTCTCAAAACAATTACAAGAAAATTTTCTTTCTTACTGCCTCAGTATTCCCATTTAGTGAAAAAGAAAATTACACAGACTGATGATAGGGAACCAGCCATACCCAAAGGCTAAGTGACAGAAGGGTAATTGCTATCTCCCTAGGTCAGGCTAAGGGTGTCACCTCTATGGGATACAATATGAGTGTAGATGGAAAAGAAAGGCAACAAGGTACAGCACCAATCCAAAAGGGAGAGGAAGGGACTAGAGCTTCCATTTTTTTCAGTAAGGACAACCAAAGAAGGCCAGCTATAATGCAAAGGTTGAGCCAACATACCTCACCAAAGGATCGGGTGTGAGGGCAAAAGACTTTGGGGAGAAGCTGAGCATGAATGAAGCAACACCGTTCACATAACTGAAGAGAAGTGGGGGGCGGGGGTTTCGAAGAGGATAATCAAAAACATTAAGAGTTATAAGACATTCAAGTCTGAGTTCAATGGCCAACTGGAAATAGAAGATTTGAACTCAGGGAAGACACCTGGGCTAAAGGCAGACACCCGAGAGCTATTAACACAGACCAGGCATAGGAGGGAACAGGTGCAGCTGATGTGGCCCATTTTACAATAATTAGATGAGATTTATTTATTAAAATACACAGTCATGAATTATATAATATTTTCACTAAGAAAAGATCATATAGTCAATGGCAGTTCCATAGACTATATTACATGACGACTGTCCTAGTTAATATAAGCATAGTCTAAGATGTTCACACAATACCCAGATCATCTAACGGTGCATTTCTCAGAATGTGTTCCTATCATTAAATGACGAAGATTCAAACACACGAAAAGGAATATATATGTGTGTGCATTATGTACCTGTTCAAATTGAATTATTTTGAATTCTGCTTGGAATTTGACCCAAGTCTCAGAAAACTCATTTTTGCTGAACATGGCAGCACACACCTCTAATCCTACCCAACAAAAGGTTGCAAGAGGACCAAAAGTCAGGGCCAGCCTAGGCTATACAGCTTGTTTCAGGCCAGCCTGAGTTATCTAGCTAGACCCCATCTCAAGGCGACAAGATAATTTTCTTTTGCTCTGCCTTTGTACTGCCATCAACAAACTGACAGGAAACTGGCCACATCCGAAGGCTAAGTCATCAATGAGTTTAGGGACTTGGCCTCTGTGGGACACTTTTTCACACCTGGCTTATCAGAGAAAGTGCTGAATATTCTTCCTTGACAGGTCGTCATAATGTTCCTACAGACATCAGTAGCAAGAGACTATCTGATAAGCATCAACTGCTTTTCTAAACGAAGGATCAATTCTTTTTGCACTCTTTCTAAGCTACCCATCACTGCTGGATATGCATTTCAATGGAAGTGTCATTTAGGAGACAATGAGAATTCACTCTCTATCCTTGGAAAAGGTTAGTCAAAGTAGAGACTGGCCCATGCCACATGACCCTAAGCTCTATCACACCTGCTCAGTGTTCAACTAGAGGGCTTGAGGTGGTGACAGAGCATCGTACAAGGAGACAGGGATAGCAGCAAAGTGTGCTTCAGACTGGGAAAGAACAGGACACTACTTTTGAGGAACAGTGTGTTCCTCAAAAATACACTGAAACAATTTAACATACTTCCTAAAGCTATGACTACAGACAAGGCTCTGCGGGTACACATACCCTCAGAGCAATGACTACCCAGGTAGGAGGAGATGAACCGGGAAGGGAAGGCAGTCAGATCTCTTTCTTGTGTTTCTATACGAAAATCATTTGTGCATTATTGAAAACAAATGCTTAAAAGGAAATCAAGAACAAGAGAAGCTGGCTTCACTTCTAGAGAACACCCAAGGTTGGGATCCTGGGCCCACAATCCTCATCAATTGGGAAAAGCACGGTGGAAAGAGGAGAGGCGCTTCCCACCATTTACCGGATCGTTTCTTTGACTTCGAAGAGCCCTTGGATGACTTTTTGGGCTTCTTTATCCGTTGGTATCTCAGAGCCTCCAGCCTCTCAGGCACAGCAGCGTTCCCGGGTGCAGGTGGAAGTATTCTGCAAGGAACAATTAGAGAGGCACAGGTCAGCTCCCAGAAAGGAGCCTTTGAAGAGGGCTGGAAGAAAGCCAAAGGACTGCCCATAGAAGGATGGAGCCCAGGGATGGAGTCCGGGGTGTCCACAATCATTCCTGGACACTTGCCTTCCTATTGCTCCTGGAAGGGAGAAAACCCGATAGAAAGCTCCAGCGGCAGGAGGCCTATCTCAGGTGGAAACCAACCTGCGGAACAATCAGAAGACCCTAGGGAAGGAGAGAGAGACTTTAATGTCAGCCTACCACACATCACTTAGGCTGGGACAAGCAAGTGCCAGAGAAGAGTCGGTTCCTAAAACTCATCATCATCAAGACCTTTAAGTAAAAAGTGAAGAGCAGATTACAGCAAGGGGTGAGCAAATCCAGTCCCAGCAAGCCGCCTCCCGTCTCCAGAGAAAGGAAGGGACACACAGCCAGTGAGGTGTGGGCTTTGCGGCACCCAGCTTCACAGAGCTACTCCCTCCACCTGCAAGATTCATCTAGAACCTCACAGCTAACTGCTGTGACACACCAGCATCTTCAGCAGGTCTGTCCGCAGGACACTCTGCAGACTAGGCTCAGATTTCCTCAGTCTCGTAAGGAAACAGAAGAAAGCAGAAGATTACGACAGGGCCAAGTGTTGAAATCTTAGGGCCTTGCAAAGGCCTTGCTGTTTGTCACTGGTCTCCAACGTGTTCTGTATCTTAAGATTCAACCTAAATGTTGAGATTGTTGAGAGAGGAGACGCCTACATGTGGACCCTTCTTTCTCCACCCCAGTTATGGGATGGATCAAGTCAGCCATTTAACCAGAGCCTGTGCAGTCTCGGTCACAAAGGGAAGCAAAACAAACCAAAAGGAGAGCAGTGTGTGACACCATGCCTACAGAGAGAGCTTTGCCAAGAGTCATAAAAGAAGAAAATGGAGAAGATACGTTATCAATCTCAGTTTTTCTCAAAGCAAGACAACTTGGAGCCTGAGGAACAAAGAGGGCAAGAGAGAGGCAGATATGATTCCTTTCCACAAATACTGGTACTGGAATAAGACCAGGTAAGGGAGGGACATTCTAGGGTTATGGCAGACAAAGGTGACTCTCTTTGGTCTCCAAGCACCACATCTCCCTTCCCCACACCCATCACAGTGAGGTTTTAGCGAATCCTGATTTTTAAAAAAGAAAACCTGATGGTCCTGCGGAAGCCAAAGAAGCCCCCAAAGGTCCACAAGCTACCTGAGGTAGGGGGAAAAAGTGAGGGGGGACAAAGAGAAAGGATGAAAAGACGGCACTTCTCCACCATCGAAGGTCTCTACAAACAGTGGGAAAAAGAAACTTACAGACTGTGGTAGAGCCTCTGGTCTCTGGAAATAACTGGCAGTGAAGAAACCTCCATCTTCCTTGATGGATGCCATTTTCTCCAAGGTCTTTTAGTGCATTGGGTATCAAGAAACGCTCTCAAGTTCAAGTCAGAGGCAACTCCTTAACATTCCACGGCCCCCACAGCATCACACTACACCGCACAGGTACCCATGCCCCATGATAAAGCAACCTAGTTCACAGTGTGAGCAAGTCCCCCCCCAAAGACCCAATATGCCAGTGTCCAATCCCTTTCCCTTCTCCCACCCCGGTTCCACCCAGACATTGTCCCCAAAAGCTGCAGCTGGAAGGGATCTTGGAGACACCCTGAATCACCCCTTCTCAGCTTGGACGGTGATCTTTGTGTTACCTGAAAGGAAAATCAAAGGCATGAATGCTCCACAATTTGCCATCTCTAATCTAGACCCTGGCCGGCATCCAGAAAGGCCATGTGAGGTGAGAAACACAGTCAAAGGAGACAGACATGAGGCAGGCAGGAACAGCGCACCCCAGCACAACCCTTGACGACCCACAGTTACAGCACAGTTCTCCCTCTTCCCCCAGCCAACAGGCAGAAGCAGCATGGGAGCCGCCTCTCCCTCCTGCAGATGGTAGGATGGGAAAAACAATTCACTAACACACAACAGCCAGGGAAATGGTGAAACCACTTTCCATATGTTCCACAGAGAGCCATGAGTTCAAAAGCCAATCCAGTAAACCACAGAAAGAGCCCTGGGTCAGGACACAGGCTATACAAGAAGCTGGTAAGGTACCCCTGAAAATTCCCAAGGATTCTTCAGGCAGGTGAAATTTTCAGGGGGTGGAATACCAATAGCACAATTAACATATCATTACTATTACGTTTGTATTATATAATGTCTGCTTACCACTTACCACGTCTATGAGTCTAAGAGGTGAGGACTGCATTAACCATATTCTAGATGAAGAAGCTGAACTGTAGAAAAGGATCAACTTAGCCAAATACCACCAATCAGGCAGACTCTTCAGTATTAGGCTACACCACTCTTTAAATTTCTTCCCAGGAAAATGGGTACAAAGGCTACAACAGACACAACCGAGCTTCCCTGCTCCGCCCACCTGCTCTGTAGTCCACTGGCCACTGCTGCCCTCTGCTTCAGCGACACAGACATAAGACAGACCAGAGACGGGGCAAACTGCTCAAGTTTCATCTTGAGGCACAAACTCCCAAACAACAATGACATATCAAGAGAGAATCCAATTTTCACTTGAGAAGCGGCAAGCTCCAGCCCTTCCAGAATACCTGCCGCCCATCTGCCTGAGCTCCTGGCTCAGGACTCAGACACTGCGACAGAGCAGACGAAGTCTCCTGGAGGCACCAGGATTTACTTGCGTAATGCCAGAGGCAAAAATAAAAGCAAGCCTTTAGCAGGACAGGTGGGAAGAGAGACACAGACAGAATGGGTCTGTTTTAAATGAGTTATACAGAAAAGACATGAACTATTTCCCAGGACACTTTAAGAACAGCGCCGCAAGTCCTCTGGTATCGACCTGCCTCCTGTTTTTAGGAAGCGTAACTGTGTCCCAAGTCTACCTGGTATCACTGCACCCTTGGAACTTTTGGCATTGGTATCTAGAATAGAAATCAGGATGACAAACTCTGAAATCACCCTGAACTTGACCTGTAGGTGAGGAGGTTACAACAGACTCCAGCCCTGGTCTCCCAAGGCGAGGCTCCGTTCTCCTGCTGGTCAGTCTTGACTTTTCCCCCCATACAGGACTGCTTCCCACTCCAGGTCCCCTTCTCCGAGGAGGCGACCCCATAGACTACAGACAGACAAAGGTCTCCAAGCCTACGAGATTTCCTGGTCTCACGTTTCACGTAAATCCCAGTTCTGCGATCCTGTGATGGTCCTTGCAGCTCGGAATTACCAAAGGGCGCCAACATTTACTTCAAAATCCACCCCCATGCCAGGCCACACCAAAATTCCCCATCCACTCATTCAACCCAAGAGGTGTTATCTGCCTAGCACCCTGCTCCCTAGAGTAGCTGAGAAAAAGAGGTGGCATATTTACAACATAGGAAAACCTTAGGTCAGGAAAGTCAAAATCCAGCTGGCCATTGCCTTGCTTCCGTGCGCTAAGAACTGGCCATCAAGACACGTGTGACAGCAATTCTTGACACACCTGGGAGCCTCAGCTGAAGAACCGCCGCCATTAGACTGGCATGTAGGCACGTATGCAGGGCATTTTCTTGATTGCTAAAGGTGGGAGGGAGTAGCCCACTGTGGATGGCACCATTGCTAGGGAGGTGAGCCTGGTCTTTATAAGAAAGGTCGTTGAACATAAGCCCAGGAGCAAGCCAGTAAGCAGTGTTCCTCCAAGGTCTCTGCTTCGGTTCCTAACCCCAGGTTCCTCTCTTGAGCTTTTGACCTGACTTCCCTGAATGATGCGCCTGCAAGCCAAATCCACCCTTTCCTCCCCAAGGTTGCTTTTGGTTCTGGTGTCTATCACAGCAACAGAAGATAAACTAGAGCAACACAGTTTCCCATTACCCCCACCCAAGACAGGAGGCAGAAAGAAGTAGCTCGGCGGCTGCCTCCTCTCATCACGGGTGAAAGGATGGGGAAATCTATTTGAGTACATAGGACAGTCAGGGAGAAGGTGAAAACACTCTCTATGTACCCGAGAGACAACCAGGAATTCACAAGCCAGCATCATTCCAGGCCAGCCCGATCACAAAGGGACCCCTCTCTGGGGGGTGGGGGAGGGGGGGAGTCAGGGTGCAGACTCAGTGTTCTGCCTCAGGACTCAGGAAACGCTTGTGTCCAGATGGGGACTCCTTCCTAGAATCCACCTAAATAAAAGGGGGTCAGGTTACGTTTTCCAGGCCCCCGCCTCACAGAGGGCACAGGAAATGGAAGTCGACAGAGATGGGAAATCGGAGTATTACCAGCATCAGAGGGGCACTGAGTAAGTGGCTGGACCCCCAGTGACCCAGAGAAGAATAGATCCACATACGGCAACTCCCCACACTGAGATGGGAGCTGGGAAGAGGATAAAGAGGGAAGAGAGAAAAGGAGGACAGGGTGAGGGAGCAGCAACGGGAATAAACAGGAGGAAAGGACAGAAACTGAAGGGGAAGGAAACAAAGCAAGGACAAACGCAGACAGGAAGCATCACCATGTCTCCAAGCAAGACCGGGGGGGACACATGCAAAGATGCAGCATGAAGACACGCGTCTACAAAGGAGCCACCGCGCCCCCATGGCCCAGCAGCTCCTGTGCCCCAGGGAGTATTTCAGCAAGCAGGAGAACGAGCAGAGGTTCCTGTTGCCTAGCACCAGAAAAGCCTGACGCCGATAATGTAGAGGGGCTTCATTCTTCTGGGCTGGGGATGCTAGCCAGGCCTAGGAGAGGAACAACTGTCCTTCACTGCTGGCCCTGGACTCCAGGTTTGCCACGGTGATAAGGTGGCTGGGTTCTCTCAGATCTGACATGATGAAGACACTGGGAAAGATAGGGTCAGGGGAATTGGACGGGGAGGAGGGGGAGGGGCTGGAAGTCACAGATGACAGGAGAGCCTGTCTACTTCCCAGGAACTGGGTAAGAGCTGTCCTAGGGCTACCAAACCTCGGGAGCAACAAAGGGGCTATGCGCTATACGAGGGAATGGAGGGGAGGACAGGCACAGGACAGGGAAGCTGATCATTGCGCCTGCTCTGTAACATCCATCCAGGAGGTCCCGGAAGCAGGTGAGCTCGCAAGCACTCCACGATCCTGCCAACAGGGGTGGCTACAGGCTGGCATTCAGTCGGCCTCACACCATGCTAGGGCCTCTGAGATACTGACTGACCGTTTTAGAACTTCAGGTCATAAAGAAATGTCCCCCACCGTCTTTTTATGGGAGGCCTCTCTTATGACACAATGAGATTTATAGTCCTGAATTACGAAGAGCAGCCTATCATAGCACGTGAGAGGAGAGAAGCGGGTAGCTTCTTCTCACTTGGAAACCAGAGCATCAACACAAAAAGCTCCCCCTTCCCACCCAGGAGCCTGGTGCAGTTTGCCAGGGCAGCATGGGCAATGGAGCAGATGCAAAAACAAGCATCTCTTTAGGATGCTTTGACAGAGAGGAAGTTCTGAGTGTCCTGAGCATCCTTAAGAGATACATGACCCCTTCACTGGGGGCTCTTCTTTTGGATTCCACCTGGAAGGATGCTGGAGGAGCCAGCCACAGCAGGGGAGGACCAAGTATTGATCTCCAGGATTTTTCAGCTTTCTGCTACCTCAACTCCCTTCTCCCTGGCATGAGTTCTCCCGAGGCCTTTTCCTAAGAGCATGACCCTAGGAGGCCAACATAGCTACGACAGGGACCCTGAAAGCAATGTGGCTCTTAGGACGAGGTCACATTTCAGTCCTGCAACAACCACGAAAGGGCTGCAGAATGCAAGAAGCTGGGGGAGTGGTTACACTTCCCACCTTCCAAAGATCTGGAAGCCACCTGATCCTGAGGACCCAGATGGATGTGGAAGAGGGACGGCTATCGTTAAGAGCGCCAGGAAGGGGGAAAAAAAATCTCAGGAAAAGTGAGGGATTAGCAACTCCAGGAAAAGATCTGAGCTTAGGGGGAGGGGTTGTCAGGGAGGACACTATCCCTGAGTCTGCTGGGAAAACTGAGCAGTGGGGTAGAGAGAATGAGAGGACCCCTGGAACTCAGTATAGACCCAAACAGGCCCCCAAGGGTAGAGATGCAAAGCTGATTGTGAAACTTCTGGGTCCTTTGGGGTTCATGCGGGGTCCTGCAGCTGCTGTGGGGGGTCTATAGGGGTGTTGGCAGTGGAGTGGCAAGTGAGAATAACTGCAGTCCATTCTAGAAAGGTGGGTGTGGGCTTGGAGGTTAAAAGCTACAGCTAGGCAGTGCCCCGGCCTGGCCAGCTGGGCAGCTGGAGCAGCAGAGCAATGCGATGTGGGGAACCCAGAAGCCATGGGAACCCAGGAGCAGCGGCCGCCCAGGTGGGGCAATGAGGGGGATGTGTTTTGGAGCCCCTCTTACAGAAGCGATGGCCCTGCTGAAGCCCCATTCCCCCTGCCCGCCCCGCCCCGCCCCACCCCGCCGATGACCTCCCTTACCTATTGAGCTGAGGAGAGGCTTGTCTCGACAACACTGCCCAGATAGCTGAGATAATCAGAAACAAAGCAGTTACCAACACCGGCCAGGTGAACCACCCACGCGCACCCAGAGGGGAGAAGGGGGGCACAGCGAGCAGAGACCCCAGGCGAGGCCAGAGGAGGGGTGAGGGAGAAGAGAGAGCCAGAGAACCAAAGGCATGATGGAACAGAGATGGTGAAGCGGGCTGTACAAGGCACAGACAGGGAGTGAGGACAGCATTTGCTGCAGACAGAGGTGGGTGCCCTAGCTAGCCCCTAGGATCCCCACACAGCCTGCCCACCAGGAGCGCCTGCAGTTTCCAGTGACCAGAGTGGTGGGAGGGGGAGGGCTGAGATCCCTCCTCTCCAGCTACCTCCCATCCCTCCACCACTAGGACAGCCTCCTCTGGAACTCTGCTCGCTTCCACAGGCCACTACATCAAGAAGAGAGAACCCAAGAGAAAGAGTGAGAAAGAGAAGGGAGAAAGGATGAGGGCCCGGCGAGGGAAGAGGGTAGGGTGGGCACGACAGAGGCACGGCAGTCTCTTCAGAGCAAACTGGGTCAACCTCAAGGCAATGGAGAAGGAAATGAGGAAGACAGACTGACTTGAAAAGGAACAAAGGCTAGGAGGCCGGGAGGAGGGCAGGTTGACGGAAGAAGAGGTACAGAAGGGTGTCCAGGCCGACTGGTACCTGGAATACCAGCTGCTACAGTACAGAGTGTGCGCTCCCGGACGAGCAGATCTCGGGAGCTTGTCTGTCTGTCTGTCTCTCTGTAGCTTCCTGTGACGCACACAGGACGGCGGGGATATGGCTCCCCACACACACGGGTCTGAGCTTGTTCTTAGGCTCCAGGGGCACCTTCCTGGAGAGACTAAGGACGGCCTGGAGTTCAGCACTTACTGGGCATGCTAACAGGCATCATATGTAAGCACACGGGGCCCCTGTGCAGCAGCCCTATGTGGTGCGAAGTGGCTAGCAAGAGGAGACTCTGACACAAGGTCTGTAGGCAACTGCGGAGAACCGCGGCTACCCAACGCCTGAGATCACCAGGGTATGGTCAGCCCCGCCTCAGGAGCAGGATTCACAGACATCACTTCCTGCTGTGCTGACCCCTTCCCCACGTTCCTGATACACGGAGAGCCTTCACTGAACTCTGGGCTGGGTGAGGCAACTCATGAAGCTTCCGACAGGGTACCAGCAGGTAAGCCCACAAGTCCCAGTGAAGGCACTCTGCCAATGTGTGGCCAGACCTCCTCTCCCAGAGGTGCAGCAGTGTGTCCCAAACAAAGCCCGTTGTTGGGATGTTGGGAGAGTAGAGGACAGAGTAAGGCATAAGGAGCTTGACTGGAAGTGGGCCAGAAGCAGTGGCTTACACTCACCCTGAACTAGGTAAGGTTGTTGGGGGATCTGGCCGGAGTGGCTCCTCCCCCATTCTCCGAGGGGAAGGTGTCTGTCCAAACACATCCAAGTTGTCCCCTGGGGCCGGAGGAGCAGGTCCCGGTGGAGGAGAAGGATAGCCTGTGGCCAGAGTGGTGAAGCCCATGGTGGGTCTGTAGCTGGGGCTCCCACTGCGGCTGCTCTGTGAAGGAGATCCGGTGGACGGCGTGGACTTGCGAGAGAAGCTGACCGCGGCTGGCGGCTGGAGGGTAATCTCTGACATCTCAGCCTGCTGCAGTAGGCCTGGTCGAGGTCGGGCTCGAGCAGCGAGCTCAGGGGAGCCAGTACGGGAACTGAGGGGGCTTTGGGTCAGAGGTGAGAGCCGGGAGGGCTGTAGCACCACTTGATGTAAACTGGGCTCGGCACGCCGGGCCTGCCGGGGACTGGGCCGGGGCCTGGGCTGGGGCTCGTACCACCGGGTATCCAGGCCAAATGTGCTGGGGCCACCGTGCCCCCCGGGCTCGGTTGGCTCGGGGTAAGGCAACACCGGTATCCCCATACCTTGGCTGGTATGTCTTAGCTGCCCTTGGCTGACCAGAGGTTGCATAGGTCTGTCCTGCCACTTGGTGGCAGGGGGCGCCGGGATGGGGCCCCTGCCAGGTGACTTGCCAACCCAGCATTTTGGCGCCTCCAGAGATAGCATGCCTGGATAGGCTGCAGGCACCTGGAGGGGGGTTGGGGGCAGTCCTCGGGGCAGGCAGGGCTTGGGCTGCAAACTCTCGGCCACATCACAGGGGTGCAGCTGATGGGGGAACATCATAGCTGGGGTCTCCAGTCCCCCAAAGGGAAATTCTGGCCGGCCCCAGGGCTCAGGGGAGCGCCCTCCTGTAGGTGTCTGAGTCAAGGGCAAAGTGCTGTTGGAAGCATTCTCTCCATTTTCCTCAGGGATGGTGGGGTGGCCAAAAGGCCCCTCGGTGTGCAGGGGTGGGGATGACATGACCGAGCTCAAGGGGCTGCCCACTTCTGGCATATAGAAGGGTGGAGGCTCCACCTCTCCAGGGCTGCTGCTGCTCAAGTACCCATAATACTGGCCATGGTGGAAGGACCGAGGGGCAGGGGGCCTTGCTTGGCCAGTAGCCTGGAGCCGTCCTCCCAGTCCACTAGGGCCCTCGAGCCCACGAGGCTGGAACCGAGGGCTGTATGCTGGTGGTGGCAGGTAAGGGTCCTGGCTGGAAGACATAGGGGTCAGCTGAGGCTTCAGGGCAGCCACAGACGTGGGCACCAGTGTGTCTTCATTCTCCTCGTCTGACTGCCGGAACTCGGGGTACATGTCGGTCTCCTCAGCGAAGGGGAAGCCCTCGATTCGCCGGCCCTTCACCGCAGGCTCCATCTCAGAAGGGCCCATGACAAAGCGGCCATCGGGACCTCTGCTGATCAGCTCAATGGGTGTGGTGGCCTCAGCCTCAGCCTCAGCCTTGGCCACGCTGTACTTCCTGCTGCTGATAGCCCTCTTGGTCTTTTTGTACAAGGACAGCTCTTTTTCCCTTGTGGGGCTCAGCATCCTCTTGGCTGCAGGCTGGCCCTGGTCATCAGAGGATTCAGACGGGGCTCGGAGAGTGCGGATGCTCTCAGGACTCACCTTGCCCGAGGACAAGCTGTAAGGATAGGAACAGAAGGTGATAAGGGGTGCGATACAGCCTACAACTTTATGTCATTGTCTGAACAGCAGCGACTCTAAAGGAAACAGGCATGGATGGGCTGCATATTTCGGTCAGAAACTCTGGCCAGCTCTCTCAATTGTCTAGACACGCATCATCCATTTTTGGAATAAACACCCACACTGCTACTTTTCTTACGGCCAGCACCTAAATTTGGTACACCCTGCCCAAGCGCAACTCCAACTTTATTCCCTAGTTGTTCAAGAAATGCAAGCTAATATTAACAATGACTCTAGCAAAGCAAAGGACAAAAAAACCACAAAGCTAAACAAATAACTTACTAGCTTGGATCATCTCTACTACACTCCCTCAGTCCACGTGGGCAACTTAAAACTGACATGCCAATCTGCAAAAGTGAAATAGCTTAGGGAAATGGGGTCAGCTAAAACTAATAGTTTACCTATGTCTAGCCTCAGCCTTCTACCTATAGACCCCCAAGAGCCAGAGATACTTACGGAGATTCAAGACTCTTCCTACAGTGAGTGATGGAGAGCGGAGGATCTGGAAGGAAAAACAAAAGGAAGAGGCCTGAGCCCACAAACAAAACTGGTAAATTCTACAACCAGGGTGCACAGAGAGGAGAGGACTGATATGCAGTCACAGCGGAAAGGCTTCGCTTGCCTGGCAGTTCTATGCCCAACTCAGAGGCCCTCTCTCCCTGTAGCCTTGGCCCATCCCTGTTCTCTCCAATACCCTTGCTCTCTTCTTCCCCCTTTTCAAATCAAGCCCTACTGAACATAGAGGCACATGCCTGTAATCTCAGTACTTGGTAGACTGAGACAAGACAATCTCAAGTTTGAAGCCAGCCTGGGCTCTCTATCAAAATAACAACATCAATAATAACAATAACAATGATAATAACAATAATAATAAAGGATGTGAAGTGGGGATGGAGCTGGATTGGTGGGTCCTAGAGGGAATTAGAGGTAGTGGGGGAAGATAATAGAAGTGCGGAATTTTCCAGAAATGAGCAAAAATGTTTTAAAAATCAAATCTAATCCCACTGGCAGCTCTGCCTGCAAGATCCCTGTGTCCCTCTTTCCAGAGGAGAAGCTCCCCAAGCGGCTTGGCTGTCTCCTAGAGGACACCTGACCTCAGTCAGGCACTGAGAGGGGAAAAGCGCCTACCTTTCTTCCGCTTGAGCTTGCGCTTCCGCTGCTTGTTGACAAAGCAGGCAGCCAGAGTGCTGAAGAGGATGGCGGCCGCCAGGAAGCAGATGGTGGCCACTATCCCAGCCAACACGGGCCGGGCCAGCCCATCATCGGTCAGGTCCGGCTGTGGGAAGATGTCTGCAAGGAAGGCCAGAAACACTCGTGGGTCTCATGCTTGCCAGAGTTTTCCCCACCTGCTCTGAGATTTGATCTCTAGAGACTCCCCCCCTCCCCCCGGTCCCCGTCCCCGTCCGTGGCAGACAAGGCTGGGGCCTGGCTTCCACACCCAGTTCTCACGTGAGCCTTTAAAGAGGAGTAATGGGGTCGGTGCAGCAGTGTGGGGAAAGGTAAGGAAAGGGCAGTCTGTGACAGTCAAGTAACTTCCCTGTAGCTTACAAAGAAGAAATGATACCCACATCTCCGCTCCTGAGGATAATCCCCAGTTATACTCTATGGCTGTCACTGTGAGTGCTTCCACGCATGCTCCCAGACCTTCCACGGTAACCCTGAGAGCTACACAGACTCTCCTTCTCCAAATGAAGACACTGAGTGGCAAAGACTGAGGAACTAACTCACTCTGCTATTGGCGGTACCCTAACAGGAGCACAGTGATTCCAATTTCCAGCCTTCTCCCATGCCATCTAGAGAATGAAGACACCTTGGGAATACAGTTCTAAATCAGAGAGAGGGACCGATAGGATAGAATACGGGCCCATCCATCTTCTAACTCCTTATAGGACAGGCTGGAAGAAGCTGCCTACAGCAAGGACTGCTCTATCTTGGTCATTCAGGCTCCAGAAGCCAACTGGAGCTGTAGAGAAGAGGGGCTCGTTCTCCCTCCCACAGTTAAAGAACAAGCCTAATGCAGGATTCACTGGCCAGTTAGTGACCGAGCTGGTCCAGACCTCAGCCCACCGTACTGCGCACATAAGCCATGGGGTCAGTAAGTGCCACTCTTAAAGGATACCGAAGGGACATTTCAAACATTGAGATACAGCTGACCAGCGTTCACTTCCATTCAGCAATGATAAAGGATAAAAAGAATCCACATCCCACTGATGGACCATTGGAAAATAGGGGAGCTAACTATAGGGGATGCCGCTGTTGCTGCAGCCTCGTTCCCCCACGTGGGACTGCCTGACTAGGCGTGCTTCCTTACTTTGGGGGACCGGGCACAAGGCTACTGAGTCAGAACAGTTCACAAAACCGAGTGCACAAAACACTCAAGTCCTCTACTTTGGCTCTGGCTGGAAGCTATTTTTCTATGTGAAGCTATTTTTCTATGTTCTTCTCTCTCTCTCTCTCTCTCTCTCTCTCTCTCTCTCTCTCTCTCTCTCTCTCT